CGCCCCCGGCCCTCCCCGCGCGGCCTCCCGTGCGCCTCTGTCAGATTGTGGCTGCCAGTCGCGCCGTGCGCTCTCCCTCCCCGCCTGCAGCCTGGCGACGCGGCTTGCGCGTGGGCACACCCCCACGGCCCTGCCGGTGCTGCCGCCCGCACTCCGCTGCGCTCCATCCTGCCCTCGGCCGCACGCCAGCCCGAGGGGACATGGCACACGCGCCGACATGCTGCCCCAGCGCCCGGGGCCCTAGGGACGGCGAGACGGGCAAGCCCAGGAAGGTGGCGCTCATCACCGGCATCACCGGCCAGGTGAGTGCGGAGCGGGAGAACCGGGCCTGCTGCGCCCGGCACGTGTGCGCTCTCCGGGCGCTGGGGCTGCGGGTGTCTTCGGGAACAGCCCTCTGGGCGTCCCGGAAGGTGTCTGCCGCCGGGAGGTTGGACCGACGATGTGACTGGGGGAGCGCGTGGCATGCTCCGTGCGCCGAATGCTTCTGTTCTTCCTCCCGGGCGTGAGCGTGTGTGCTGCGCGCGACGTGGTCCTCACCCCCGGGCAGGCCACGGTCCTCGCTTGCGTGTTTCTCTGAGCCTAGGAGGGTGCACTTGGAATTTTGTCCCTTGCAGACCCTAGTGCCGGGGAAGGAAAAGGACCCTTCAGTGAGTAGGTGTGTGCAGTCGTTTTGACTGAGCTTGGCTCAGGGGTTGCTTACCTGCGGATGCTTGGGAAGGAGGAAAGGTGGTGCCTTGCTGTTTCTGTGTCCTCCTCCCCCCCATCAGATTTCCAGGTAGAAAAGGGAAAATAAAGTAGCGCTGTGGAGACAACAACTAGGAAACGTTTAGGAAAAGAAACTCACAGCACTTGGAAGTCACACGAACTTCTGAGATTCATGTTCACACATTTGGAACCGTATCTGACCGACTGGTCTGAAAGTGGGGCGAGAGTTCCTTTTCCAAAGAAATGAGTTCCTTGAGTGAGGTAATCAGGAGGAACTGTTTGGAATGTTGGAACTCAGGGTCTCAGGCAAGTTTGTGACAGTCATCTCTTAGAGGTGTTGCAGTCTGTGTCTTATCAAGCAGTGCTGTTTTGGATTCAAGGATGAAGAAGTAATCATACCCACGAGAAAACGTGATGTGTGTGTCCCTGGATATCTCCTGGTGGTGGCCTGTATAACTGAAATAAAGATGATGATAATAGCTAATACATATTATGTTTATTATGTTCAAGTCATTTGACTAATATTGACTCATATAGTTCTCACAACAAATTCTTTGAGGGAGTACTTTTACTATGTCCAACGACGTGTAAACTGAGGCATGGGGGTTTGATTTGCCTAAGGTTAAACAGCTAGAAGTATCCAGTTGGGATTGAAACTCTGCTCTCAAAGCTCTCTAGTGTTAGAAAAGGGGAAGTTGAAATTGGCCGGATGCATAGTCACAGAATATTAGACAATTTCAACTATTGAATACCTGCTTAATTTCTGGTTATTCATGCATCTTGCTTTGCTTTTGCTTTTTGCTTTTTGCATTTGCTTTGCTTAAGAAAAGAAAAATCCAGTTTCTTAGACTGGATGTGAAGCTCAAATGTTTACTGAGTTGACATAGTCTCTTGAAAGTAGAGTTTTTTTTTTTTTTAAGTATTGTCAAGAAGTTAGTTAAGATGTTAATGTGCTGTATTGGTGTGTCATATACCAATTTAAGTGACCAGTGGTATAAAGTAGTGCAGGTCAGAAATGGAACCTGGCCAGGCTCAGTGACTCCAGCCTGTATTCCCAGCACTTTGGAGGGGGCTGAGTTGGGAGGATTGTTTGAAGCCAGCAGTTTGAGACCAGTTTGTGCAACATAGTGAGACTCTGTCTCAAATAAATAAAATTTTTAAAAAGCAGAAATGGAACCTTTTTATACCTTCAGAGCAGTAATTTGTCTGGTACTGAATGGCCAGAAAGGTGTAGAAGGGGTTCCCCACTCTAGTCTGTGGTTAGTTCTGCAGACTGCCACACGGGAGTCTTCCTGAAGTACCATGCTCAGCAGTCCACTCCTTGACCTGAGTTTTTTGGTTCTCCACTTCATTTCTAACTTTAAACACCTGCTGGCTCTCAGGCTGTATTTAATCTCTGCCATTTACCTTACTTTCCTCCAACATCTGCCCTCTGCATTATCTCCTTACTTGTTTGGTGTTGCATTGGTTTCTGTAGCCCCTAGCACAGTGCTGAATTCTGTAGCTGGCACATAAATACTTGCTGCTGAAATTTACTGCTCTTCTATGGCTTTTTATTTATCTCCTAGGACAGTGACTCCTAGCCTAAGTATCAAGGATCTCTGGAGGACTGTGATGTTAATGCCAGGACTCTGAAAAAATCCATACTTTATTGTACTTAGTAATATTGGTTGAGACCTTATTGAGGCACTCACTCTGCTAAGCATTTTATGTATTCCTACCTACCATTTTATACTTGGCTAAGTGAGGTTGAGTATGTTCCCTGAGGTCATACACCTAATAAGTGTTGTTAGAGTTGAGATCTAAACCCAGGAGTCAGGTTCCTGAACAGTTGTTCTAAGTCATTTTGTTATTCTGCCTCTGGTAAACTTCATGTGAGAGATAGAGAAAAATATTGTCTCACTCTAACAAGAGGTTTCAGATTCAAGTGGCACTGCTGTAGCACATGACAGTTGTGTCAATATGGGTTCTTAAATGACTTGTCCAAAATTCCCACTTGAGAATAGTTCCAACAGCCAGGGTGTCCTGTCTCCTGTGGTCTCTGTCTAGTATATACTCTCAGACTTCTTATTTTAGCCTACCCCACCTATCTGTTCTTGACACAGCTGTTAAGACTCTTTTTCCAAAGTGTGAGCCTTATTATATCACCATTAGAGAAACCCAGGGTAATTTCTAAAGAAAAGAGGTTTATTTGACTTACAATTCTGCAGGCTGTACAAGAAGCATGGTGCTAAGCATCTGCTTCTGGTGAGAGCTTGATGCTACTTCTACTCCTGGTAGAAGGTGAAGGGGAGCTGGCATATGCAGAGATCACATGGTGAGAGAGGAAGCAAGAATGAGAGAGGTGCCAGGCCCTTTTAAACAACAAGTTATTGTGGGAACTAATAGGATGAGAACTCATTATCATCCTGAGGACAGCACCAAGCCCTTCATGAGGGACCCTGCTCCATGACCCAGACACCTCCCATTAGGCCCACACCTCCAATCAAATTTAACATGAGATTTGGAAGTGGTCAAACGTCTAAACTATCACATCCTGCCCCTGGCCTTCCAAATCTCATGTCCTGCTCACAGGCAGAATACAATAATTTCTTTTCGATAGCTCCCTAAAGTCTTAACTTGTTCTAGCACCAACTTAAAAGCCCAAAGTCTCATCTGAGACTCAGGTAAGTTTCTTTCAACTGTGAGCTTATAGAATTGAATCTAAGTTATTTACTTCCAGGTTGCAGTGGCCATACAGGCATTGGGTAAACATTCTCTTTCCAAAAGGGAATAATCCACCAAAAGAAAGTAGTAACAGACCCCATGCAAGTCTGAAACCCAGCAGGGCAGTAATTAAATCTTAAAGCTCCAGAATAATCTCCTTTGACTCTATGTCCACATCCTGAGCACATTGGTGGTAGGGGTGGCCTCCCAAGGCCTCAGGCAGCCCCACCCTTCAGGGCTTTGCTGGTCTCAGCCATGCTACTCTTCTCTGGCATTGAGTTAGAGGCCAATGACCGCAGGCTTTCCAAAAGGGAACTCTGCCCCTGCGGTGGGCTTCTGCCTGGGCACTGAGGCTTCCTAGTATCATAAATCCTCTACATATGAACCTTCAAGTTGTGAACTTTCAAAGATGCCAACATGTGTTCACATGTCCAAGCATGTAAGTTAATTCACATGTCTGGTATACATTGTTACATATGTACATCCTCTATAAACGGTTGTGTTTTTGTGTACTTCACCGTATAGTACTGTTTAGTACACTACATAGTACCATGTAGAGTACAGTAGTACAGTATTTTTGTTGCAAGCCTAGGATGTCCAGAAGAAAGTGTAAAAGCAGCAGTGATGTAGCTGGTACTGTTAAGAAGCGCCAAGTGATAATGCTGAAGACAAAAGTGAAAATAATTGAGAGAGAGAGTGGAGTGAGGCAAAAAGATGGTGGACGTTGCTCGTTCTTACAACATGAATGGTTCAACCATCAGCATGATTCTAAAGAATAAAGACAAGATGCTGGAACATGTGAAGTTTGCTATGCCGGTATCAACAATAACATCCAAGCATGGAAAAGTGATGGAGGAGATGGAGAAACTTGTCAGTGTATGGATGCAGGATCAGCATGAGCGCTGAGTGTGGCCCAGCTTAATGCTGATTCAAGAGAAAGCTAAAAGCCTTTGTGAAGACTTGAAGAAGAAATGTGGCAGAGTCAGAGGGCACATCTTTTAATCCTTTGCACTTGGAGACATCTTGTGGATTACCTATTAGCAACTTGACTGCACTTTTTTACAAAATAGTGAAAAATGAATCACTTCATATTAAGTAGTATAGTGTTGGAACCAAATATTTTGTTGTAATGATATTTGGCTTATAAAGTCGTGTTAGACATTGAGAAACTTATTTATGACAAAGAAATCAACATTTTATATTTTTCTAACATGTGGTAACGTGTAAAACAGTTATTGATATGCATTGCAGGTTCATTTATACATGCTGTGCAATAGTAAATTGACATCTTCCATCTGGCATTTTTCTATTGGAGAAGACAACCCAGTCATATTTTCTTCTTCCCACATCATTAATATGTAATTTTTTGTCCAGTCTGTTTTTCGAAGAAGATGTGGAAGGATGCACTTCCTTCCTGAAAACAGTTTTCAACTGATCAATCATATCTCAGTATATATTCCATTTCTTTATTTGCTTTTTCATACAATTTGAATGGAAAGCTTAAAGGAAACATTTATTTTTGAAAAATTTGTGCTGACATAAGTTTGTCCTGTATAACTATCAGCAATCTCTTTATGTCTCCTGAGAGGGAACCTCGATATCCAAGTTTTTTGCTAGATTTAGGATGTCCCCTCAGAGGGGCGTATTATTTATGTCACACTTTTCATCAGGCAGTAAAGGCAAGTGAATCAAGAACAACCTTGAGACAGTTTTGGATAGGACATCTGAGTGCAAAGGATTAATGCCAGCCATGGCTGGTTTCATCGGTTGAAGGCTAGAGACCACCTTCACAACATAAAAGTAAGTGAGTGACAAGACAGATAGTGCAGATATGGTAACTACCCAGGAATTTTCTGAAATGCTCAAAAAGTTATTGATGAAGGCACATATT